GATGAAATATAAATTTTCCCCCTCCGTATTATATTGTTAACCGATTTATTTAGGAATAGAACATTTTGTGCAATCAAGCGTGTACTTATTTGCGCGTAAAATGTTTAACTTCTCAGTAATCGAAGCTATTCTCATAATAATCCATTTCAGAAAAGAAGTTATTCTTGTGAAAATTGGTCAATAGATGGCCCACACTCATACACGGTTCACGCAAGTAAAGTGTGCCTTGTTGTTACATATAAAACAATAAGCTGATCGAGGTAGCACGACTCGTGTATGTGGATTTTGAAATTTGCATCTGGTATTGACTTGTGTATGTGATTTTAAGATTTACGTCTAGTATTGACTTCATGTTTTTAATATATTTCTTAAAATTTATTTTGCAATGGAGAGCATACAATCTAATGGTGATCTTTTCAATTTAATTAGAAATTTGAAAAGTTTTGATCAAAATATTCTTTCTCAAAAAGTATTAGAAATACTCAGCCAAGAGTTTTTAAATTCAACAAAGAATCAATTAAACAAGAGTTTAAGAATTTTTTGCTCAAATTTGAAAATAAAATGGAAAAAAGCAAATTATACAGAGGCTACATTTAGAAATAAAAATGATCAGAGTAGTAATGCTATGAGAGTTCTAACTCGGGAACTCCGAGGGGAATGCGGGGCGCGGGGGATTCTTCGGTGGTGGGGGTATGACATCATGCGAAGTGGCGGCAAGGCATCACAGATTTTGGGGACTGTAGTCACGTACAAGACAACAAAAAACATCACAAAAAGGGATTATTACCATGAACAAAAAACAATACAAAAAAACAAATGGTTATAAACGAGAAGTGTTACAAAGGGTATATGCTCTCGCTGGTATATGCTCCAACCGTTTTTCAATATGGCGTAATATAATTTTTCTAGAAACAATATTTATTAATTATTTTAAATATCTAAATACGAACAAGTTTCATAATTAATCGATTGAGCGCCAACATCTGGCTGCTATCGAAATCGATGATATTGAAACGCAATGTCTCCCTTGATAAAAGAGCCTCGATCATTTATTCTTTTTTGGAAAGGACATGACAATCGAACATGTTTTTTGCCAATATATTTCAAGGTTAGTAGAAGTGTAAATGTAAGTGAAACTCGATTGTTTGATGTCTTCTAAAAATCGTCGCGGCTCGATATAGTTCGCGTTAATTACCGCGGTTAAAATTCGATTTTCAAACGCCGCATCGATATCTCGCCAAACAAAAGATACGAGAATTGTATTTTCATAAATTTTATGAGGGTAGAGCGTTTTTTTCTAAGCATACTTTGAAAATGAGCGTATAATGCTTTACTCTGAAAAGAGGGAGTTACAGACGAAAATGAATTCAGTCTAGAAATGTGTCAGATTATAGTACGTTGAAACCTACGAGAGTGAATTCATTTTACCGTTAGTAAATCGTTGTAAACATGGATCAAGATTTCAGTCAAGCAGAGCGCGATCTGTTGAATCGATCCCACCAAATTGCTAGCTTGAAGGAGTGTTTCGCGTGGATAGAAGAGTGCAATGAATTAATTAAACAGCTTGAAGAATGCAATCATGTCAAGCGTCCACGGCTGTCCATTGGATGCAGACAATTTCTAATCGCTACAATTGCACGACTCGAGGGTACAAAGACTCAATTAGAAAGACGATTTATGCATTTTGGTGGTGATTACGCGAGCACTAGCAATAACAGTGACAATAACGCGGAAAGATCTTTTGTTTGGCGAGAGATCGATGCGGCGTTTGAAAATCGAATTTTAACCGATGCGGTAATTAACGCGAACTATATCGAGCCGCGACGATTTTTAGAAGACATCAGCAGTGTAGTGCTCGAGCGAGTGCAAGATACAATAGAAAGACACAACTGCGTAAAAGTGAACATCATATTTAACGGCGAATTTGTGACAGGTGATAAACGTGCCAATAAAAGTATTAATACTAAAAACTGTGAACTTTTCCGAACATCGAACTTGCGTGAATGATACGAGCGGCACGTCATCGAACCCACGTTGGCATTTCTCGAGGAATTTCAAGAACGTCTTCTTCTTCTTCTTAAGTTATTGGCCAGGCAACCCAAGGGTTGAAACTAGGCCATTGAGATCCGCGATGTTGGTAATTTATTGCGAGTAGGTTTGTAAACTGTGTTGATCGCAGAAAATATGACTGCCTCGCCCCTTAATCCAGACGCCTGCTGCCACCCAGCGGTGAACCGCGCGCCATGGGAGGAAGGAGAGAGGAGCAAAGAAAGAGTTAGAAGAAAAGGTCGTTGGCCTTAAGGGGGGATCCCGGTTTAGAAGGTCAAAAAAATCCATTTTTTTTTATTGCATAAATCGATAGATAAATTATTCAAAAAACAATGAAAGAACAAGGGCAGTAGGAGTCAAGCGCGGGAGATGTTGCGCAAATAACACGACTATCGTAGCGTGAAACTTCTTTATTTTACTAAAGCGCTTACATGTTTCGGCTCATTTTTGAGCCTTCTTCAGAGATAACTAATAAATTCACATACATAGAATATAACAATTATTAACTAGTCATGGTGATCTTCCTCACCTCGAGAGTATAAATACCAGAATTAAATCCAGATAAGAATGCAGTAAAAAAGAAAAAAGGGGGAAAGAAATTTTGAAATTCTCGAAATAAAGAAAATGTAAAACTAAATGTATCAAAAAATTTTTTAAATTATAATTAATTATTCCGATGGTTAGGAAGCTCAACTTGATCACAAGATACCGCATCGCAAACATTACTCTTAATACTTCAAAAACCGGTTTCTGATAAGTTGGCCAGTCAGTGTCGGACACAGTTAGTCTCTTATTGATTTAATTGGTCTTTATTGAGACAGTAATTAGAAAACTAGCGTTAAAAAATTAATCACCAAATCAAGAAAAGGTATCCCCGAAAATGAT